CTTTCTAGAAAATATCCATATAGTTGTGGCCCCTGAAGATCTACCTTGGAATTAATCAGAAGCACATTCACTGGCTAGTTGTGAAAGCTGTTTCAACTTTTCGTGAAGCCAGGATCCTTACCTACTTTTCTAAAGGTAGCATGGTAGAAGAGAAAGAATAAAATATTAGAAACAGAAGGTATCCAATCTGGTACCATTACTGCCTTAATGATCCATGTGCCCCTGGGCAAGTTAATTCACTTCTTTGAGCCTGTAATATTGGAATATTTTCCCTACCTACTTTATAAAGTTGTAGTGAGGACCAGTGAGATTATTATTGTCGTATGCAGAATAATGTCCCTCTCTCCCAAAGATGTCTACGACCTAATTCCTGGAATCTGTGTGTGTGTGTGTTACATGGTAAATGAGAAATCAGGTTGCAGATGGAATTCAAGCTGCTAATCAGCTGACCCTGCGCTAGGGAGAGGATCCTGGATTACTCAAGTGGACCCAATGTAATCAATCACAACGGTCCTTATAAGTGGAGGGAGTGGACAGAAGAGAGAACAAGAGAGATGGCAGTGTGAAAAAGACTCAGTCCAAAGTTTCTAGCTTTGAAGATGAAGGAATAGAGCCAGAAGCCAAGGAATGCAGGCAGCCTGTAGAAGCTAAAAAGGGAAGGAACAGATTTTCCCCTAAAGCCTCCAGAAGGGATGTAGTCCTGTGGATCCATTTCAGATTTCTGACCTCTAAGACTAAGAGAATAAATATGTATTGGTTTAAGCCAATAAATGTGTGGTAATTTGTTACAGCAGCAATTGGAAACAATAATATACAGAGGTATTTTGAAATTGGTAGGAAATTATATAAATGTAAGATATTATTCTAATATGACATCTCAGCTTAGTTGCTCTGTTTAACAGCCTTGATGGCAAACAACCCTGTTACCAGGAGGTCTTTAGAGTTGAATCATATTTACTTGTCAAAAGCGGATGCCCTGTCTTTCCTGTTTCAGTGCGTGACCACATTTGCTTTTAGCTCTCATTGCATTTGTGAAGCAGAGTTGATTACCATCTAATTATCAAACTAGCTCCAGCCACCTGCCTTTCTACTCCCTAGTTTCTCTTCAATTACTCATTATTCTGATATTCTCAAAGGGATTGTTAAGAAAACTTTTTTCAGTCAGAATACCACAGCAAAATCATGCACAGATAATTCCTACTTTGTTAATAATGAGTTATTCTCTAAAAACTGTGCAAGGCAATATTCTAAATACATATCTAAATACACATGCACATATATATAGATATGTACATATATCAACACATACTGTTTTATAGTTTTTATCAGTTTGAATAAGAATGTTAATGGATTTTCTTCCATAGGTTAAATGATCTTTAAAGATTTTTTATTTATTTATTTTTTCCCCCAAAGCCCCAGTAGATAGTTGTATGTCATAGCTGCACATCCTTCTAGTTGCTGTATGTGGGACGCGGCCTCAGCATGGCCGGAGAAGCAGCGCGTCAGTGCGAGCCCGGGATCCGAACCCGGGTCGCCAGCAGTGGAGCGCGCTCACTTAACCACCAAGCCACGGGGCCGGCCCTAAATGATCTTTAACTTATGAAGCAGAATTAAAATTTTAGGGTTAGACCATTCTTTTTTTTTTTTTTTTTTTTAAAGAGTTTATTTATTTTATTTTTTTTCCCCCCAAAGCCCCAGTGGATAGTTGTATGTCGTAGCTGCACATCCTTCTAGTTGCTGTATGCGGGACTCGGCCTCAGGATGAACGGAGAAGTGGTGCCTCGATGTGCACCCGGGATCCGAACCCGGGCCACCAGCATCGCAGCGCGCGCACTTAACCACCAAGCCACAGGGCCGGCCCCAGACCATTCTTATTAATCCCAAATTTACAGAATAATCCAGTAATAAAAATTTGAGTGTTGTATTAAGGAAATAAAACACACAAATCCATGTTTTTAAATCTTGAAAAATGAGGATTAACAAAGTTAAATTGATCCATAGTGAGAAATTGACTAACATTTTTATAATGGTTCTTAGGCCAATCCCTAAACACCATCATTTTTTCTGCTCTTAGCATGCACTTATACATTACAGGCCTCTTTCTTTTTTTTCTTTTTAAGGATCTTTTTTTTTTTTTTTTTGGTGAGGAAGATCAGCCCTGAGCTAACATCCATGCCAATCCTCCTCTTTTATTGCTGAGCAAGACCAGCCCTGAGCTAACATCTATTGCCAATCCTCCTCCTTTTTTTTTCCCCTTTTCGTCCCCAAAGCCCCAGTAGACAGTTGTATGTCATAGTTGCACATCCTTCTAGTTGCTGTATGTGGGACGCCGCCTCAGCATGGCCGGACAAGCGGTGCATTGGTGTGCACCTGGGATCCGAACCCGGGCCACCAGCAGTGGAGCGTGTGCACTTACCTGCTAAGCCACGGGGTCGGCCCCAGGCCTATTTCTTTCTATTACAATTTATAATACCTTTATATTTCTTATCGCTATCTTCTTACCTTTTATTTTAGGGGGTGGTATTTCTGTGCCTACTAATATTTTCGTATTATTAGAGCTTCTCATCTAAACTTCATTTTCAATTTGTATTTAACTTTTCTTTCCCAACAGAATCAAGCAGATTTGGGAGTGAAGATAGGATAACATCATAAGCACAAATACATGCACAAAGACACACACACAGAGGCACACCAATTATTCCACATCCTGGGTTTACAATGCTTTATAGATGAAATGGGCCCAAAGTTGAGAAACATATCACTGTGTACTTCAACTGTACAGTTAACTGGATTCAGAAAAAAAGATCTCATTTAATAACAGTATCACAAACATTCCAAATAGGGCAGAATGTACTGGCCAGTACATTTATTAAGTACTAGCCAGCAGTATACTCCCAGCTCATATATTCATGGTATTTGGAAATGAAGAGTCATTCTTATTTTTGTCTTTCAAAAGAGAGAATTCCAATTAAAATATTACACAGTAGGGGAGTGTTGTCTATGGACTGGTACAAGGCTGTGAAGTGTTACTGTTTTGCTTTAAATACAAAAATTGACTGTAATTTCATGTCTACTGAATCTAGTAATAACAAAATTTAGGTTGTATTATGTTTTTGGGTTTTCATTTTATTTTTCTAGTGATTAGTTTTTTATTTTTTTTTACAAAAGTATTGGTCTATGACTTATTGGAAATTAAAAACAAAACAAAACAAAACTGGTCCTTTACCATAGGTAGCTTGAGAAGCACTGTTAACAAGACAAGTGCTTGTTTCTAAAAACCAACCTATGCCAGTACTATAAAACAATACTTGAAGAATTTATTATAATATATTAAAATATGTCCCTTCAAGTCATTTATAAAATGACTTTAAATTACCAAGACTTAATGTGGTTCCATTTCTTAAGACTATTTCACCAATCCTAGATCCAAGAGATATATATATAAAAGAATAGAAAAATTTCAGAGCTCAACTAAGTAACTTCTTTACCTCTTCTAGAGGTATTCTACCATTCTAAATGATTTGTGTATACTTCACTTGAAAAATTAGTTTTATATAAGAGAAAAAAATGACTATAAAAGTTCAATAGAATGGGTTAGTTATAAAGGTTTCAGAGCCCCCCCCAACCCAAAAAAAACCACCCTGAACAAACAGAATAAAGAAGCATCATCTGATCTCTGATCATTTGATGAGTTGGACGACCAGGCTATCATCTAAGATCCCTTAAAAAGAACGATGGCTATATATCCACAAGAATTGAAAACAGGTACTCAAAAAAAATCCTTGTACATGAATGTTTATAAAAGCACTATGCATAATAGCCAAAAGGTGGAAACAATCCAGATGTTCATCAGTGGATGAATGGAGAAACAAAATATTGTATATATATATGGTAGAATATTATTCAGCCATAAAAAGGAATGAAATACTGATACAATGTGGATGAATTTTGAAAACATTATGCCAAGTGAAAAAAAAACAGACAGAAAAGGTCACATGTATGATTCCATTTATATGAAATAACCAGAATAGGTAAATCCACACAAACAGAAAGCAGATTGGTGGTTGCCAGGGGCTGCAGGGAGGGAAGTATGGGGAGTAACCGCTTAACTGATACGGTTTTTTATTTTGGAGTGAGGAAAATATTTTGGAACTAGATAGAAGTAGTGTTCGCACAATATTGTGAATGTACTAAATGTTACTGAATTGTTCACTATGAAACAGTTAATTTTGTTATGTGAATGTCACCTCAATTAAAAAAGAATCACAGTTATCTGCAGTTATCTCAGTACCGATTACCTCTACTGATTAACCACTAATAAACTATGCTTTTGCTATTCTCTGAAAATTCACTCCATCACAAATAGTATCCTATGTCAGGATTTATAGGTGGGGAAGCCCATTTACTATTAAAACGGATAAAATTGGGAATGAGGAGAACTTACAGACATGAGTAAAAAAAACAAATAGTAAAAGTAAAAAAAAAAATTACAGAATGAGGAAGAGGAAACTGAAAGAAGAAACACTGAGGATCAAAAAGGAAATTATTACAAATAGTCTGATTCAAGAAGAAAAAAGACTCTAATTGTCAGTAGTGATGAGGTATCTGCATATTTAAATCAATTAAAAAGTGACAAAAAGCCTATGAACGAAAAAAGGTTTTGGGGCCAGAAAGATATATTCTCAGTGTACTTATCAATTTACAAGGCTAAAAAACAGACAATCCCCCAACCTCTTATACTGGAACTTACAGACTAAATAAATAAGATAGACCCAATTACTCATTTGGGAATCATACACTTATTTAAATACCAACTGACAGTGAACTATTTTTGAAACTCCAGTTTGGAATTGTATTCAAAATTAGTTTTAAAAAAAGACTAATTTCATTACTTCACATTTATATCACCTTTTTAACCAAAAACATTATTCCAGCTGTTTTTAGTCTTGTATATTATGGATACATTAAACTAGATTAATCACTTATAAAACTATACTTACATATTCCTTCACGTTTTTTGTTTTCACAGCTTTGTATGAATAATATGCAGGATAAAGCATTCCAAACACCAACCTAAAAGTAAAAAGTATGAGAAGACTAATCAAACACAACAATGCTTTTACCAACTCAGGAAAACTTCACCCAATAGAAAAGTAGAGAGTACATGGCAAATAAATGACAGTATAAATTTGTATGAATGCAAGTTTGTTTATAAACTAAATCCACTCAGAATATCAAACTAAAAATACATTTTTTTTTTTTTTTTTACAAAAAGATGATTTCAATATTCTAAATACAGTTTCATGGGGAAAAAAAGATTTTTTTTTTTTAAATTGCCATTTAAAACCTTTTTTTCTCATCACAAAAATATTCTGTGGTTCCTTGAAGAACATTTGGAAAAAACATAGAAAATCGCCAAAAATAAAATTAAAATTGTCCCAACCCTACCAGTCAGAGATAATCACAGGCAACATTTTATTGTATGCAAATCCCATTTTTATCCATGTGTAATATACCTAAAATATAAACATCACACACACACAGAAACACACAATTTGTGTAATGAAAAAGTGGTCTTGCACTCCATTAATTTGAGAAGCATTGGCTTCTAATTACAATGACAGTGCTGTGAAACAATACTTGATATATTTATTACATATGTATTAAAATAACTCTCTTTAAGCATTATAAAATGACTAAGTCATTAATAGGAATTAATTTAATGCCATGTGTTAAGATTATTTCACCAAATCCCATATCTGAGAGATATGTAAGGAGATATATATATAAAATGAAAGGTTAGCCATAGAAAAGGCATAACACAGTATACATGGTTTACAACTGGCATTCTCATCACGGAATTTTTTCTCCTCAAATATTATTCTACAGTATTCTTCTTAGTATCTTCATTACATTCCACATTGAGATTCCCATAGTTTATTTAAACAATCCCATATTTATAGGCTTTTGGTTAAGTTCCAGGTTTTTGCTATTGCACATATTACCATGAAAAACATTTCTGTGCACCTTGATAATCACTTTCTGTTTGTGATGTTGCTGCTTCAAAGAGTACACACATTTTTTATCTATTACCGAAATGCCTTCCAGAGAGGTAGTTCCAGTCTACATTCCTATATGTTGACAATCATAGGTATCACAATTAAAAAAAAAAAAAAAGGTTTACCAGCTAAATAGAAGAAAAATAATAATTTCATAGGTGTTTTAATGTGCATAACTGAACAACAGTTAAGTACGAATGTTTTTCAAGTCTTTACTGGCCTTTTGATGCATGGGGTATATGACATCTGTTGTCCACTTTTTTTTTTGGTCTTTTTTAAAAAAAGAATCTTTATTTTAGAATAGTTTTAGTTTTACAGAAAAGTTGGGAAGCTAGTCCCAAATACCCTACACTGAGTTTCCCCTATTAACATCTTGCATTAGTATGGTACATTAGTCACAATTAAACCAATACAGATATTTATTAACTAAAGCCGGTACACTATTCAGATTTCTTTAGTTTTTACCTAGTAACCTTTTTCTGTCCTACAATTCCATCCAGGATAGCACATTATATTTAGTTGTCTGTCTCCTTAGCTCCTCTTGGCAGTAACAGTTTCTCAGCCTTTCCTTGGGAAATGACCCCCTTGACAGTTTTGAGGAGTACTAGTCAAGTATATTGAAGGAAGTACCTCTAATGGAATTTGTTTGGTGTTTTTCTCATGATTAGACTGAGGTATGGGCTTTTGGGAGGAAGACCACAGAGGTAAAGTATCATCTCATCGTATTATATCAAGGACACATACTATCAACATGACATCACTGTTCATGTTAACCTTGACCACCAGGCTGAGGTTCTGTTTGGTGGATTTGCCACTATAAGGTTACTCTTTTTCTCCCCCTTTTCATGCTGTACTCTTTGGAAGGAAGCCACTATGCACAGGCCACACTTGAGTGGGGAGTTATGCTCCACCTTCTTGAGGGTGGAGTATCCACATAAATTATTTGGAATTCTTCTGCATGGGAGATTTGTCTATTCTCCCCTAGTTATTTATTTATTCAATGACTTATTTATAACAATATGAACTCACACATATTTATTTTACACCTTGGGTTCTAATCCAATGCTACTTTATTTTGTTGCTCAAAGCTTTGAACCTTGGGAGATCTTTCAGTTAGCTCCTGTGTCCCTTAGACATACCTCTATAATTGTGAGGTTTTTTTCAGCAATTGGTTACTTTCTGGCACTGCATGATGCTCCAGGGTCATCCTGTGTACTTCCTGCCTCATTCCTAGAATCAGCCACTTCTCCAAGGAGCCTCGGTTCCTTTTATCGGAGGACAGCCATTTAAGACCAAGATCTGGGTGCTAGGTATGCTCATTATTACTGGAGTGTTGTTGATTCTAGGCCCTTCTTTGTCTATTTTACTATATGTTAAGCAATATTTTTCTAGGTTATTGTTATCTTTTGATTTTGTTTATAAAGTTTGCTGAAATACATATTGTATTATGTTTGCTGTGCTGCCATATCAAAATACCACAGAATGGATGGTTTAAACAATGGATATTTATTTTCTCATAGTTCTGGAAGCTAGAAGTCCAAGATCACAGTGTCAGCAGGTTTGGTTTCTTCTGAGGCCTCTCTCCTTAGACTGCAGATGGCCACTTTCTCACTGTGTCCTGACATGGTCATCCCCTTGGTCTGTGTGTGTGTCAATCTCTTCTTCTTACAAGAACACCAGTCATAGTGGATTAAGGCCCACCTTAAACATTTCATTTTAACTGAATTGCCTCTTTAAAGACCGTATCTCCAAATACAGTCACATTCTGAGGTACTGGGGTTAGGACTGCAACATATGAATTTTGTAGGTGGACACAACTCAGCCCACAACACATATAGTTTATTTATGAACTTTTATATTAAATAAGCCTTTCTTATACTGAGCAAATATCTATATCTCTATATTTTTAGTTCAGTTATCATTTATTTGTTAAATTTTTTTTGCAGGGGGAGGGGCAGTAAATCCCTGGTGACTTTCTTACCCCTCACAAAGCGGAACCCTGGGCTTGGGGCTGATGTCACCAGGTCCGAGGAATACCCAGTCTTCTCCTGCTGGGGATTTTATCCTCACCAACCAGAACCTACATCATTAACAATCTCTGCCTTACCTAACAATACTACCCTGTGAATGCTACTTCACCGGAAGCCAATCTCAGACTCTGAATATGGGATTTTTAGCTGTGCCACAGAAAAGAGGGCTTTCAATTTAAGCCAGAGGCCCCCACAAGGCACAGAGGCTTCCCAGCTAAGTGACTTCTAAGAAAGCAACTGACCTTAAGAACCGAGATGTAAACAACACAACTCCCAGGTCTGCTATGTGTTCATCCTCACTGCTGACACAAGGCATAATCCCATAGTTAGCCATCATGTAAACTGTAAGTTTACATATTCAAGTTAATAATTTCAATCCACTCTGTATTTCCCTTTAGAATTTGGATACAATCAACGTGTTATCTTCCGTATTCTCATACAATCTAGTACCACTGGATTTAAATTCTTCATTTCTATCACTGGATGGATCTTGATGACTCCTTCCCCTGCTACAATATCCATCCAACCTGTAAGCCAGTCCTGTTGGTTCTTCCTTGGTGAGAGTCCACGCATCCATCGTCCTCTTTTATTTTCAAACCTGTGGCCAATGACACATTTAGGCTCTGACTTACTGAATAGTTTCCCAGCACATGCCTCTGGCTCCACTGTCAGATCAATCTTCCTAATCTACCTGCAGCACAGCCTTGCTTAAAGACTTCATTAGCTGGCCTCTTTACCCTCTTGCTTACCAGCCATGTGGGGGCTCATCAGAACATAATTTGAAAACCACCGCCTTATATAAACCATCTGTTCCAATATCATTTCCTCATAATGTCTCTTGTACTTCTCCTTCAGTCCTGGAGTGTGTGCTTCTTGCCTGCAATGCCCCCCTCCTTCTTTATCTTTTCTCCCCTCCTTTCTTTTCTTCCCTTTATCTTCCGGCTTAATTAACTTTTTTCTTCAAGATCCAACTCTCCTCATTAGACTTCTAAATTACTTTTATTTTGAATTTCAGAATTTGTCAGGATTAGTCATTTTGCCTTTAGCATATTCTATTTTAGATTGTTTGATGTATTTTTCAATGTATATAACTGACTTCCAAAACAAGCAATTTTCTCATATATAGTAAGGATTTGGTGTTAGTTGATACTATGCATAAAGGTGCTTTGCCTTTATTTTTTAACCTCTGTATTGAATAGAATCAGTCAAATGAATACACACAATATCCCTAACACCTAACTCTCGTAAGAGTAGGAAACAATAATGTATTTCATTTGGAACATGGGAAAGATTAAACATCTTAGTGAATAGTGGGACAATTTTTAAGGACCACCACTATTAATATTATAACTTATTACTGCTCCAATGTGAATATTACTGAGTAATTTATTACTAACATCTGTAATATTTTCTAGCTTTTTTCTTTTTTGGTTTATTTTCTTTAATATTGGGTCCTACTGTAGATGTTTGCAACCTGGGAGGTCAGGCATAAAGCCAAAACATGAGCACAGTGTATAAAATCAAATAAGGTTTATTTTAGAAGGCCACCTACAAGATAAACTCGGGGCTTATAAAGGGAGTATTTGCTCCAAATAAAATTCACCTCTAAATTTGAAGATTGTTTCAGTTAGAGAGGCAGGAAGAAACAGTTATTCATTTCCTCTTAGTCTTTTGCCTAAAGAGGGAGAATTTTGCCAAAATACTCATGACACCCTTCCCTCCCACAGAGCTAAAGCTGCCTATTTAAGAAAGGAAATAAAATTTATGAGAATGCAGTAGTGGAGATGGTCCTTGTATAATTTTTCATTTATGGAAAATACCTGAAATAGCTATTTTCTCGACAGATGTTTAGACACAATCCATCTTTCACCAAAATTGTTTTAGAGAATTACAGTATGTTCAAAGCCAAGTCTCAGAAGCAACTAGTTAAGCTCTCAATACTAGAGGTAATAATGTCATCAAAGCATAAAAGTTATCT